AAAAATTGAACTCAGTATGTACTCCAAAGCTGTTGAATCAATGTGCAAACTGTGCATAAAACGTTGCCGTTAATAAGGCAGATTTCACAAGCAAATGTACATGTACATGATTAATGACCCAGAAACTAGTAGCTTATCGGTACTTTACATGCTACATATGCACATGGCACAGATGCCTGTCAGTGTTGAAAAGAACAACACTAATATGTTCAATTTTCAGCTGTTTCTATTACAAGTACTTCTATTTGGATTGACAGGATGAATCTGAATATCTGTGAACGTTAGAGTGTCCCTGAAATATATGGAAGCATACCAGTAATCACATATATACAGTATACAGGGTTTCTATCAATCAAAATGAAGGCTTTCAATAGCTTCGTGTATATCCCAGGGCTTCTCTCAAGGCTGCTGGTGAGGAAGAAACACAAACAGCAACAAAGTACGGTAGGCATAGTAAAAATGTGCACTGCTGACTGTCACCAGGACACATACTCTCATGAGTGCATTTACATTCAATCTGTTTTCTCTGAATAACCCAATCATTCACAGAGCACGCTGAGTGGTCTTCTTTGACAGTCAGAGCCTGAAAGCAAACTATTCTACGAATTGCAGTCTCAGTCTGGTCAGTCCTGTCAATCGGTATGGTCAGTCAGCTTGGTCAAGCAGTTTTTTCATTTGTCCAAACGAGGTTAATGGGAATAGTAGACATAAAGGTTGGCTATCTTAATTCGGAAGAGGTATGGGAAATTTTCAATCTTGAAACACATTTACACGTACCCTGGATACGGAAAGACTCTTTGTGTTACAACAAGGTGTTGAACCAGGCGAATCAAAGCTGACTACCGACGTGATTACCAGAACAAGGGGAACGTAGACTGCTTCAAATTTGTTCAATTTTTTTCCATTTCAACTTTCAAAGTTCTACTAAATAAGCAAGCTTACCGAGTGAAAATGCTAGCTGAATGGCCTTCTCCATGCTGCTGGTCTGCTCGACACGCAGCAGGGTAGCCTGAGTGGCATAGGAATCAGCCAGCACTGACGCCACCTTGACGCCATGGTCCATCAAGGCTTGCAGGCAATGGTGAAGCAGATGTCTGAGTATCGAACACACAAACATTTCATTCTGTCATGGCGTTGCACTGCATTTCATGTGTGCTTTCTCCTTGTCACTTCAGAGCTCACCACAATGCAGTTTTAATGCTTTGAAACCTAAATACAAACTTTTGAAAGGCGTTGTATGATTTTGCATAAATGACCGTGAATTGTGAGTTCACAGTAGAGAAGAACTGCATAGTGAAAGATCTTGGTACTTCGAGCTGTCATTACGCCATGCCGTACATACACGTACTGATACTGTGGGATGGCTACATACATGTAGTTATGAAATTAACAATGTAGATACTGGTACATGTACATGTAACAATGATACGGACACAAAAAGCATTTCAATGCCTTATTTTATTAGTAAAGAGAACGTACACATACACGTGTACATGTATTTATCCAACTCTTAACAAATAACCTTGACAGTGATGAACAGATTGGTGCTTCTGGACAAAATCCATACTGTACATGTACTGACATTTTTTGCCTCCATTGCTAACCGTATGCTGTGCAAAGTCCAAAGCAGGGATGCTCTTTTACAGATATTTCTCAGTTCTACAACAATGCATTGTTAATGCTGAGACCCAATGAGTCAAAATGCGCACTAAGTCGGTAACCAGTTTCTATTACTCAGTGCAAACCATGCGAATGCATATTGCTAATGCATCTTACATGTATACTTCTGATAGAAAATGAACAAGTTTACACTTTATTCGATAGTACATGTACATCGGGCATTGCAAACTATTTGGAATAATTTACATTATTTCACTATGTTCTACAAACCCACACATATGTATGAATTCAAAATGTCTGCGCTCAAGATGGCATCAACGTTTCTAAGTCCATGCAGGGAATTCGAAAATGAGGAGATGGCACTCCAGGAAGTGAATACAGCTCTTTGCGGCATAAACATGTACCATTGCACATGGGAAATGTATCCTGAATTATGTTTTCAAATAAGAAACCCACATCCTTGATTTCCTACATGTACATGTAGGTTGCATGTACGTATCCTAGGTTACCAGTGTGTAAATAATTGTGTGGGATCTAATGACCAGACCATGTGTTTATAGTACATGTTGAGGACTACTCCCTCTTCTCAAAACATACTCTTTGAGTGCTACACAGTGTACAGGATGCACAAAGTTTTAGTCTTTGGTTACCAGACACAAACCTTGTTGAGCAATATTTTCTTAGTTACTTGTATGTACAGGAAATATTGCCCAATAGAGTAGGGGAAATCCCAAGCCTGGCAGCTTATCCAGGAAAAACAAATACAGTCACCAGAAATCTGAGTAAATCAAACTTCGTCTATTATAAACTCCACCCATCCTTTCACAGAGTTTTCCCACAGCCTTCCAGAGATGCCGTCAGGCATTTCACCTTAAAAAGTTGGCAGTCACAACGTGACTTTTTCAACGAGGTTTTCTGCAGCCTTGTACATCAGCATTAGAAAACATGATCTGATTTGATGCATTGGATGGAACTTGAACCCCTTCATGATGAACCTTACCAGTGCTTTTCACTGATATCATCAGAATCCATGTACAGTGTACATGATGGAGAAGGTCCGACAGAGATAATGATGTATGGGGAAAAAAATCAGTGATTGTTTTGTAAAGACACAATGGGATTGGGGGAGATAGATAAATCTTTGGCTCAGAAGTGCTAACATCCCTCTTCTACATATTGCTTAATGAAAGGTGGACCATTCAGTCACACAGAGCTACCACACCTGTATGATGTGCTGATGAACAACAAGGGGGCACATAGCACCCCAGGCACAGGCCATGGTGCCATTTGCTCTCAAGGGTTTACAAATCACCATGGACCCCTACACAGCAGGCAACAATATAATGGCAGCAGTGCTTCGAGCTCACATGGAGTACGTTACACAGTTGCAAAATTGCCATGGCATGTCCCACACAGACTCAAACATGTGCAGAGGTGGGCCCCAGGGGAAACTGTTGCTGGGCAAAACAAAACCCCTCGTATGAGTCATTCACACACAATACAGTCCACAGCATGTGGAAGTACTGTAGTTACTCTGTTTCAACTGAATGGATAACTTCCCCATGATAGGGAAATACTGCGTGTTGACACAGGTTCATACGCATTTGGAGTTGGGTGCATTTGCACTGAGCATGCTCTATCCTCACATGTGCACTATGCACCAATTTGAAAATCTTAAACCAGGCAGTAGGCCTACCTTCTCGAGTGTGCATGTCTCGTCAGAGTTGACATGTACATGCACGTGTTTGTTTATATTAAATTATACACATGTACATGCACTGCATGTGCTTCCAAGTTTTGAGTTCTAGATTCTGGTTCTGCTGGGATCCAAACGTCAGGCCCTTCATATCAGTGTTAAGATTATTGCTAGTGTTGAGTATTCCAAGAGGTACAACTTGAATTAAAAACAATGATACTCCAAGAAAAATTAGGAGCCCGATGTTTGTCACCGGTTGGTATTGCTGATAACATCAATGGAGGGTTCTACCTTTTGTCGTTGGCACGTAAAACTTTAGCAAAGACATCCAGCTCACAGAATTCCATGCCCAGCTGACAGAGTCGACCTTGTTTATACAGCTGTATGAAACACAGAAAATAGAGCTGACAGTCTTATGGGATACATTGGCCAGGCTTCTGTGCATACTTCAGTGATCAGATGATTTAATGATGTCTCATTTACACATTTGAAAAGAGGATATTTTTCAGAAAAGAAATACAATACTTTTTTTTTTTAATATAAGCCGCGGCTTATACGTTGATTCTTACGTGGAAAATGTCCCCACAGAAAATACGCTTTTATACGCTTATTTTTTGGCCAGCATGACAACGGAATATGCACTGTGTTTTGCATATGTTTGGGAGACTTGGCAAACAGAAATTTTACTGTGAACAAATTCTCATCTGGTTCTATAAATATGTATTGTCACAATAAATTTGTTTTTACGAGATGGAATTCAGACCTAGTGCAATTTCAAACTTTATTTCCCTTTAAAAAATCCCAAGAGCCATTGATCAAGAAAAGAGTGAAACATCCTACAATTTACAATGTAACTTGGAATTCAATTTAAAGCATTATTAACCTTAACCCCCTAGGGTGTATGTAAAATCATATTGAAATTGGAGGATTTGGGACTGTTGGGGTTAAGGGAAGGTATTGGGACTTTGAGACATTGTGGGAAGGGAACAAAATTGAAATTTATCGGCATGGCCTGGCTGAGATATGATCCCACACTTGTGTACTACATGTATATAACCGTGATTACACAGCCAACTCAATAACCTGTGGACAGAATTCAGAACACACGCTCACTTCCACAAGGAAACAGTGCAATAAGCTAATATCATGGTTGGCATGATTGGTTTAGAGCCATGTTTAAAATATTTAACAAGAAAAGTAATACGTATCCAAACATTGCCACATGACAGCAAAATAAACATTTCAAAAGTACAAAACCATGAAAAGAGAAAGATGAGAGGTGCCTGTGTCCTAAGCACCTGCTAAGTAAAAATTGCCAGGATGTTGTCATTTCTATACAAAATATGCATTTCTCCATTTGATTCTATGAAATGTAAAGTGTTAGCACTAGGCCGTTACTTTGAGTTTGAACTAACATGAGGCTTCCACTTCCAGGTACATGTACAGCGTACTGCATTTCTCCAGCTGGTTCTTTGTTAACACACTGCAAACTACGGTTTACATGGTTTAGTTAACAAGCAAGTACGAACAATGGATCGACATACAGACATGTGTAGGCCTACTGAAGGCCTGGGCCTGGGCCTAGGCAGTCCAGTATACAGTAGGCCTACAACAAGCGCAAAGGCATGACCCGATGACATGACAATGACATCAGTCACAGACATACATGTACATGTACATGTAGCATTTGGCTCTGCCTCAAGATTAGCAACATTATCCGGCCAGTTTCCAAAGACAACACGCAATTTCAGGGATTTAACAACTCCATCGACTGTGAAACTTGCCTAACCTTGTAATAAACATCGAACTGGATGTTTTCCGGAAGCGATCGAAGCTCCAGTCGGTGACGAGAATACGTCGACACGACAGCAGTAATGGCCGAGTTGTACAGGGTCTCCGGAACCCACTCCAATTCACTCGCCACCGCCATTTTGAGAGTGAACGACAAGTACCAATTTCACGGTTCTACTAGTCTGTTGACATTCATGTTACTAGCTGAATGTGACAAATACTTGCACGGTCGGTTTGACTAGCTTGATGACACAATGATGACAATATATGCACAGTTGAGTTAGCCTGTACATATGTACATGTACATGTTCATCATCATACGATCGTCATACATCATCGGCACTTTCCGGGGATGATCGTGAAAACCAACGTGCGCCCTCTACAATCTAATAGTACAAGATATGCAAGAGTTGACATGAAAAAAAAACACCAAAAACAAAACTCTAGCTCTCCACATTGATCCCCTCCAACGAATGCTTTGCTCCCCCCCCCCCAAAAAAAGAGAGAAATCTTGCTGATGCCCATGCCCATTGATATAACTGGGGTGAAATTTCTTGAAGGTGCACACATGGGGAGGGGGTGGACCGGTGGTTTACACAGTGTGTTGGGGGGGGGGGGGCTACGGACTTCCACTGGGGTTGCACATGCCCCACGCCACCGCACTATATACATACACTGCCAAGTATGAAGTCAGCATCATTCTGTTAGGCCCGGCATCAGCCTAGAGCAGGCATTTACAGATCCGGAGGGGAGAGGAAATGAAAGCCATGCTCCAAAGGAGGGGGGTTAGAATGAAAGATGTTTAGAGACAATTTCATTTCCTTTACTTTCAAAAGCATGTAAAGCAGTTTCACCTTTGAGGATGGTCCCAATTTGTTACATAAAGTTCCAAACGTTTCAGCCCTCTTGCACAAATCCCCCCTGCACTTGGTCATGGAGCAACTCTTGCTTATGGCTACAGCTTACATTTAAATTTCCTCTGAAATTTCGTTTTGTTTTGCCTGGCTCAGACAGTTATACATATATAAAGGAAAACGTGATCAGAGCTGCGTCTTATCAATGCAGTTCAAATTACCAACCACTTCTACGGGATTATTTTGGCCAAAAATCATGGCCCATGCCAGTGCGTAAGTGTGACGTCACTTCAGTTTAATTAAACCACGCCCACTGCACACGTGCAATGCACAATTAATGCAATGGTGCACTTCCCAATTCAAGGGAAATTTTCGACAGGACGAGGCGCTCAAAAAGTTCCCCTACAGTTTATTTGAAAAAGAGGAGATTGTGTGGCCCAAGAATTTGTAGAATTGTGGAAGAATGACCCAGAATGAAGTTTTTAGATTCAAGGGCTAATTATCTCAGGGCAAAGCATTGAAAAATGCAACACTCATCAAAAATTGTCCCAAGAGACTCAAAAGATGGAGGGATGTCATTTGAAGAATGGTCGCTGACAGACTTGGGAACGTTCACTTTTTGGGAGGTGAGTTTGTTTTTGGTGGATAATTAAAAATTTCGTTGGCTAACCTACTAAAAATTGAAAATCAATTGAGAGCTGAATGACCCCAGAACACTTTGTTTTTTGTTTGAGAGGCCTGAGGGACTTCGGTTGCCCGCACCGGGGCTGCAAACATGGTCGATTTTACATTGTCTTCAATGGAGTGCAGTGTACCTATAGGGTACATGCATTGATCGCCGTTTGCATGGAACTCTTCAGCGATTGTGTCCAATGCGTATTGCATAAGAGCCTGCAAATCGTGGCGCGTCCGCCTTCATTTATGACGAAGTCACTTACTCAGGAACAGGTACATTTCTGCAACACTGGGCTGGTCTGTCACTGCATAATTATGCCAAGGAGAAACATTTTCTGCAGTACAAGCATGCTGTGTACTGCGGTTAAGGTCAAGTTCAGCACACGGTCGACCTGGGAAGAGTTTCTGGATGTTGTGTTGCTACTGGCCTGGGGACACATGCTCTTGAGCTGAGGGACACCATCGGTGCAATACATACATACCAATGCAGTAGTTGCTGGGTTAACCCGAGTCAAATATATAATTTATAAAGGTTTGTGTTCCAGTAAAAGTAACCCAACTTATTATTTGTTTTCTTGTTGAAGTTATATTAATTTGGAACAGTTTTGACTTTATAAGTGTTGTCCCCAACTACAACATCAGTCATAACTATAGTTGGGCCCGTCCCAACTATT